CGCGCACACTGACACATAAATATAGAGTCTCTATATTTATGTGTCAGTGTGCGCGCAATGGCGTCGGCGTGTGTTTACAGTTGAAATGCTTCTACTAGTGCCTGTGGTGCTGGCAGTACTGCATTTTCTCTGAATGCACGTCATACTATCTATGCAGTTGTTGTCCACATATAGCAGATATAGTTTGGGAAGTTAGAACTTAACCTACCTACTTCAATTAATAATAGTATTATTGTATTAAGGATTATTTATATACATTATTAGAGTAAGACTAAGTCTATAGACAGTTGGTAACTAAGTTAGTACAAGTTCAACTAACTAACCTAGATCATCTGCTACAATGAACACGATGTTTGGTTGCTTCGTTTGTTGTAATGAAGACACTATATTATTAGCAAACAACAAAAGAGTCACACACAGACACCTCGTCTTTGGTTTCATAGTTTTTGTTTATGAGAGAATATTCTTTGTGAGGTTATGAAACGTTTAGTTTTATGAGAAAAACAAACATTTCATTTCACCGCCCCCTACGCATCAATACACCACGTGACGTTATTTACCCTCTCGAACATTGCACGACGACGCCAACAGCAAGATAAACGATTTATATCGAATACTGTGTAACAAACTAATAAGTATAAGACGACAAAAGAATTTTAAATGCATTACTTTGATGTTATTTCTACTCCTAGTATTTGGAAAAGAAACTGGGTCACCATAAAGATTATCGAGAGGTATACAAACAGCTGGCAACTTCAGTGACTAGACTGGACAAATTTTTATTACTGCGCCAGTATCACGTTCTGTTGAGGGTGTGAAGAGACGGAGTTACAGTCTAGTACGCGGGCGTGTTCAGCGATCTTCAGTATCGCTGAAATCACAAACAACGCGTTTGAGACTTTTGGCGCTCACCCAGATAACGCGGTAAAGGTGTGATTCTCTATGAGTGGACCCTGAAGGAAGGAACTACTAACGCACACGTATGTAATTTTGTTACGGAAATGCAGTTTTCGCTGTAGAAAACGATAACATAGTTACGCGTCGCTAGCAGTAACAGTAACAGTAAGTCAGTAACACTGTCACTAGTCTAGTGGCAGTGCTGAGAGGGTCTATCATCTATGTCCCACAGGGTACTGCCGGAACGTACCCTGGTACTATCTAATATTAATATGCCGGACCGTACCTCGCCTACTCCACTAACGAGTCTAGGGGGTCGCCTACGCCTACTCCCTAACCCTAACCCTAATCCTAACTCTAACCATATCAGCTGAGATAGTTACCAGGGTACGTTCCGGTATACCGGACCGTACTCAGGGTACGTTCCGGCAGAACCCTGGGAGACATAGACCCTATGAGCAACACACGTCTACACGACATTCTTTCAGACATTCTTCCAGAACTACGTACGTTACCATGTATTATCGTGACGCGTGTCTACTGCTAGCACTAGCCTAGTAGTAGTACCAGTAACTAGCTAGACTTAGTCAGACCTACCATACCACTACCTAGCTC